AAGACCAAATGGGGTGCAGGAGGTGGAACCTGGGTTAACCACATGCAAGGGAAGCACTCTACTCACTGTACTATCTCTCAAGCCTCTAGTATATCTTTTTATGTACAACATAATGAGGAAAGATCACTTTACTATTTTCTACCACTGCTTTTAAACTGGGCTAAGCTTAAATGATTTTCATAACCAAGACAAAGTGTCCTATATTTTTTATATTTTTATTTTATTTTTATAAATTTGTTCACAATATTTGACTACATTTAATATTCAAACACCAATCCCACCATTACAATTTCCCACCACCATATTTCCATCCCGAACCCCAAATCCTACCCCAAAGCAGAACCTAAGTAATTTGTTTTGTATTGCTTGTTATGAATTATGCAGTAAAACTGAGACCAAAAAAGGTTTTTTTAGAGGGAAATGTGTGAAGATTGTTGAATTTCACCCAGGAGCCATTAAGCCCTTCTATAAGAGATTAGTAACATGTTATTATAGGTTAAACCTTTTGTGCTGATTTCAATATCTGTATAAATATATTTCCTTCTAAGATTGGTTACTTTCTACTTTAAACCAAATCACATGTGGTGTATATTGATTGGCTATATTGGTGGTGTAAAGTATGAGGTGTCCAGGAGATTGACTCATGGGTGAGGCTTGTCCAAACATGTAGATAACAGCTGTAAGTATGGTGGCGGTTGAGTTCTGGGGGTTTTCGGCTGCAGGGTTGGCTCTGTTGGGGCAGAGAGGGGTCACACCCACCCCCCTCCAGGTTGCCCCAAATGAAACAGCCTGGAGCAGGGTTCAGTGGCATGGCTATAAGCTATTGCCTATTGTTTTATGCTCTCTTCGGAATAATTTATATTGAGTCTCTGGATCGTCGCCGTTAATGAGATTTATAGTGCCAGTGGTAGCTTGTGAGTGTAACTGCTAAGGCACCGAAAAAAGTGTACTACATTTTTATATGTACCTCATTTATGGCCTCATAACAGTGCTTTTAGGTTATTTGTTTATATGACTAGAATGCAAGGACTACAATTTAGGGTTCTTGGTTTGCTAGTTTTTGGTGGGGATTCCAGAGTTTAGGATAAGTTTCAACACTAAACACATATTCTTTAAATTGTTATTAAATATGATTAATGATTATTGAAAGATGAATTACTTTTTTATTTTGAAACTGCACCCAATAATGCTCAGGGCTAATTCCTGGTTCTGTGTTCATATATCAATCCTAGCTTAGCCATATGGGATGTGAGAGAGAGAATCTGGGTGGCCTTCATGCCTCACTAGTGTACTCACTCACTTGAAATGTACTTTTTATATGTTTATTCTCCACTACAATATTACCTCAGTCAAAATATCTTCAAAGGGGGCAGAGATATAGTAGGGCAGGTGGGATGTTTGTCTTGCATGCAGCCAATCTGAGTTGAAGATTTTGTACTTCATGTTTTCCTGAGCACAATCTAGAGTGATTACTGAGAAAATATTCAGAAGTCATCCCCGATTTGTAAAGGATGTGACTCCAAAACAATAGCAAATAACTTCAGAATGCAGAAATATATTTTTGTTTTAAGATTTATGCCTAACATACAGCAAGATTTTAGTGAAAGACCAAGAAGGATCTAGCTGAAGGTGATAGTGCAGAAACTGGATTGCCTTCCAAGCCTCTTTTAGCTTACTATGAATGTACTTGAACAAAATTTGAAAAGAAATAAAAACAGCTTTAGTCAGAATGAATTCTTCTCACCATAGGTAATGAAGAGTAGGAAATGAAAACATTAGAGTAAGGGTAAAGCTTGGTGGACTACAAGTGGAAAATCTGTTGTGTAAATTTAAAAGTCAATACTTTCAATAGACCAGATTCCTTTAGACAGTTGATAGAAAAAGTAGATTTGTTCAATTGATTGATTAACTAATTTTCTGAGACTTCATAATACTCATGATTTGTACTAGGTGAGAGATTATGGATGAAAGCATAAATGTATAGAAACAATCTAGGTCATAAAAGGTGAATAAATTAAGCATAAATTAATCATAAATTAAATTAAGCATAAATCCTGATTTTTGTCACAGACCTACTATGAAAAGTGTCATTTTCCACATCTGCAAAATAAATATATTGCTTAGTGAGATAGATATTGCCCCTCAATATTGCTACTCAATATAGTGAGAAAGATGGTGTTCCTCAATATTACATAGTGAGATCAAAATGTCTTCAAAAAATGTCTGTCTTTGTGCGGGTGAACATATAGTAATTGTGTAAATAAAAGTTATAAACATTGAGATGCCAAAAAGACTGTGCAATGTGCTTGCCCTGGGTTTGATCCCTGGTACCTCATGTGGTACACACAACACTCCCAGGAGTTATCCCTGAGTACAGAGTCAGAAGTAATTCCTGAGCACTGCCAGGTGTGACTCTAAAATAAAAAACAAAAAGAAGTTGTGTTACATACATAATGAAATTCTATGCAGTTGTAAGGGAAGATGAAATTCTTCTGTTTGGATGGAACTGGAAAGCATCATGTTAAGTAAAATAAGTCAGAGGGAGAAGAAGAAATGACAGATTATCTCAATCAGCTATGAAATAAGATCAAACAAAGGAACTGACATTTTCAAATAATGACAAATCCTTGACCTTGCATTACAAAATTTATTAACAAACAGAGGGTGGTGGAATAGATTAGAGCAAGGGTGGCAACATTGGTAGAGGATGTGCAACACCTTCGTGGCCCTGGTATACAGAAGCTTTGTGCAATACACTTGACACTGCTGTAACTCCATTTTATGAACTATAATAAAGACTTTAAAAAATTATCTTTTAAAAAGTTTTGCTGTGCCTGGATCAAACCCAGGACCTCACATATAAAAGGCAGGAGCTCTATCTCTGAACCATATCCCTGGTTCCAAATCTCATGTTAAAATTTATTTTTTGTTACACTATTCTCTTTTTTGTATATTTTTGAAATTTTTAAAAGTTGAGTCTTATTTAGTACTGGATTATAAAACATTAAACTTTTCATTTTTAATGAAAACTTCCTGGCAGAAAATAGAATTTTCTGATGGATCATGAACTACTACATTAATTAGATCTATTAAGTTATTTAGAAACTGACAAATCACTCTAAAAATACTATACAAATCACAAAATGCCACTGTTATCAATAAAAACACTGAAAGTTGTAATTCTGAGCCAAAAGTAGAAAACCGATACATTAAACTTCACACAATCACAAATCACAAATCATCCTGTTAATCATCGATTGCCTCGAGCAGGCCCCAGTAACGTCTCCTTCATCCTAGCCCTGAGATTATATTCAAGGCTCTTTAGGAGAATGAGACCCATCATTCTTACTGGTATTTGGCATATTGGGTACGACACAGGGAGTTTGCCAGACTCTGCCGTGTGGGCAGGCTACATTCGGTAGCCTGCCAGTTTGTCCAAAATAAGAATGAGATAAGATGTCATAATAGGATGTCATAATAGGTTCCGGGAGCTGGTTTTTATAGTCACTGAGTCTTGGCCGTTGATGGGATTACACATTAAACTTCAATTCCAGGTAAATGTGTGAGCTTTAGACTGAGTCACATCTCAGCCTTTACCTAGACTTTCTCTGCTAGATAAAAGCGTGCTGGAAAATCCTTTAATTTCTTTTTTTCCATTTAAAAGATTTATTGAATCACTGTGAGATACTTATAAGCTTTCATGTTTGGGTTACAATCACACAATGATCAAAGACCCATCCCTCCACCAGCGCACATTCCTCACCACCAATATCCCCGGAATACCCCCCCTTTTCCACCCTCCGTCTGCCTCCATGGCAGACATGATTCCCCATAATCTCTCTCTACTTTTGGGCATTATGGTTTGCAATACAGACACTAAGAGGTTCTCATGTTTCATCCTTTCTGCTCACATCTCCCATCCCGACCGATTTCTCCAGCCATCTTTTTGTTAATGATCCCTTCTCTATTCCAGCTGCCTTTTCCCCTTTGCTCATGGGGGCAGGCTTCCAGCTATTGAGCAATCTATCTGTCTCATGTATCTACTATCCTTAAAATCCTTTAACTTCTGTGTACATACCCTGCAGGAAACAGAGTAGCAACATCTCAGTACTAAGTGGGCAGGGTGTGCTGGCTGGGAGCAGAGCACAGACATTGTCTATGTGCCATGTGTCAGGCTCTGGACTCAAATCGCAGAGCCAAACTGTTCTTGTTTTTATGGATCGGTCACGCACCCAGTAGTGCTCAGGGATTACTTCTGGCTCTGCACTCATTCATCACTCCTGGCAGGGTTCAGGGGGATGCCTAAGATTTAACCTGGGTCGACTGCATGCAAGGCAAGCGCCTTCTCCACACTATCATCTCTCCAGGCCCCCAAATAAAATGTCTCAATCAGTAAGGCACACAGCACAGGGCAAGACACATAGTAACTACTCAGTAAGTAATTCAGATAATTCCACAATATTATCACTTTCAACTTTTCACATCTTTAAACCTGGGACACGGCTCCTAATGGCTAGGGTACCCAGGTTGGGCAGGCAAGTTTTCCCTGTTGTGGTACTTGCCATGATGGTCATATTACAGATAGAATCTACGGCTCTGTGGTACAGTATCAATCACGGTGAAGCTATATTCCCAATTTAAAACTACTCTAATTAATATTTAATTTTTATAAAATACTGAGCAGAGTATTTCTAACACATCACAAACAGAAAAGTTTTGAGACCAATTAACTTTTGTAAAAAATGGTTTATCAATTCCATTTTTGTATAAAATACATGGGAGAAACCTTGCCAATCAACACGTCACTGTTGCTACATGAAGATACTTTCATCCATCTTAGAGTCAAAGATCGCATAAATGTTTCTCTCTCTGTCTACAGTAACCGTCTATACTTTCCACTGAAATGCTCTCCAATCCTCCCCCACACACCCTCCCGCGGCCCCTTCATCTTCCGTTCCAGCAACAGCATGATGTCAGGACAGAGAATTGTTGAAATAGCCCTAGGCAGTCTTCTGCTGCCCCTTCTTCCCGATGGACTTGTGGATGTGAGGGATCACACCACTACCAGCTATGGTAGCCTTGATGAGAGAATCCAGCTTCTCATCGCCACGGATGGTGAGCTGCAAGTGGTGTGGAGTGATCTGCTTTACTTTGAGGTCCGTGGAAGTGTTCCCTGCTAGCTCGAGCACCTCGACAGTGAGGTACTCCATGATGACTGCACTGTACACCACGGCTATGGAACCAACCTTTCCGTGACTCGTGGTGCACGTTTTCAGTTGTCTGTGGATGCGGTCAACAAGAAAATGCAGCCCAGCTCTCTGGGAGCGAGACATTGCCTTCGCCTTGGCCTTCCCATGGTTCTTTCCAGCTTTGCCTCCAGTCATAGTCTTGGCAGCTCCCGCCCAGTACCGCTGCCGCCACTCCTGCAGCACCGAACGCCGAGGCCTAAAATTTATATTTATTGCAGACTTTTTTTTTCTTAGACACCGTTCTAAGATGCCATTTGTTCTTAGATACCATTGTTGTTAATTGTATTTTCATGAATTCAATATTCTGACAGCAAACTCTCCACCATTGTGTTGTCAAAAATTGTAGGATAACATTGCTTTGTCCTTCTTCCACAAGAAGCTTAGACTTATCTGGTTACACCCATCTCAGTGCTCCTGAGGCACTTCCATTGTGTTTATCTGTAAATTCTTCCCTATGCTCTCCTTCCCACCCAGTTAATCAGCTTTCCCCTTAATCAGACTGTTAATTTGTAAGGTCAGTTTCCCAGAAATCTATGATTTTATATGTATAAGTGAAATATTGCCTTTCTCCTCTCCTTATGCCTTATGAACAGTTTACTTTAAAGCAGTATCCTTTTTGTATAGATATAGGAAGACCATTAACATTATGCTTTGTAACTTAGGATTTGATTGGCTTTGAATATTATTCACTCCCAGGCATCTGCTTTCTTGACTTAAGCCTCAGTTGCCCTTAGTTCCTAACACCCCAAAAGCAGGGTCCCGATGAGGGACTGAATGGACCTAGGGCAAGCGGTGAGCTACCCTGGCATCGAAATGGGCCAGGCCAAAGTGCCAAGATTCTTAACTATAAGTTAAGAGTTTGATCATAGACAAATGCTGTCATGATCCAAAAGTAACGACGAGACTAGGATCCTGCTAGGGGTGGGAAAGACTATCTGGCCTGAGCACTGTAGTCTGAGATCGAGATGGCCCTAGGAGAGCAATTCTATAAGTTTAAGATATTTCTTACTGTATCCATACAAAATGATTTATATCATATATTCTTATATGCTTGTCGGACAAGGAGAGGAGAGAAACACCCTTGGGATCTCGCCCTATGGTGGGTTGTCCTGCTGAGAAAGGATATGTCCTAGGAGCGGCTTTCCCTGAGGCTAAGATTTCTACCCCTATTGATTTCTACCCCTATTGATTGTAGGGCTGGAGCGATAGCACAGCGGGTAGGGCATTCGCCTTAGAAGCAGCCAACATGGCCGACCCGAGTTCGATTCCCCCGCCCCTCTCGGAGAGCCTGGCAAGCTACCGAGAGTATTCGATATGCCAAACACAGTAACAACAAAGTCTCCAATGGAGACGTTACTGGGCCCGCTCGAGCAAATCGACGATCAACGGGAGGGCCTTTACCTTTACCTTTACCTTGATTGTGACCGCACCTATGTGTAATTGTACCCCGATTCCTCATGGAGAGAGGATTTAACTAGACTGTAGGAGTGGGCTGGGGGTGGAGAAGGGATCAGGAGGATCAGAAGGAAGAGAAGGAGGATGAAGGGGGATGGAGAAGGAGAATGAAGTGGCATGGGGGAAGGAGAGGCGGGAGCAGAGACAGAGATGAAGAGAGAATCAGAATAAACTACGACTAATACCTACCAGTCTGGCCCTCGTTCCTTCCTCTGCCTGACCATCGCCATCGACCTCCCCGGGTGGGAGAAGGGTGAGACTACCAAACGAAGGCGGCGGGAGAGATAGAGCCACCGCCGCTGTGTGCCGTGCCCCCTTGTGTGAGTTTACACAAAAAAATGACAGTAAAGCCAATGGTCACCCTACAGTACATCCCCCACCCTTATTCCCTTGGTCATCTCAATTCAAGTAGCATTACTTACAATAATATAAATATTTATATATTTTAGGGATACTCTGTTATTCTGTGTGACCAGCACCACCTTCACATACAATTGAACAGTTTCAGCCTCTCCTTGAAGTTGGAATATACAATAGCATACATGCTAGAATAAATCTGAAACTGGTTATTACTGGAAATAACTACAAATTGTAATCTTTTAATTTAGTAATTTTGAGTTGCATAGAAATGACAAAGAAGGGAAAGGTGGTGGTGGTGGTGGTAATGGTGGTGGTGGTAACAGAGAAGGAGGAGGAGAAGGAGGTGGAAGGGTGGGAGATACAGAGGAACAAGTAACTGAGGGAGAAAAGGAGAGGGAGAAGGAGATGGAGAAGAAAAACAACAACATCACAGAAGCAAAAGAGGGGAAAAGTAAAAAGCAATAGTAGCAAAAATAGAACTATTGAAAAGTCAATAAAGTACATTTAAAACACAGTCCCTTTAAGGACAAGTTGTGCACATTATGTCTAACCATCTTCCAAGTTAAGTAGCTGCCAACCTCCGCCCAGCCTTCAATCAAAACACCAGTGCTGCAGTTTCTGCTTTTGTTGAAATTGTTAGCTTCACAGAAAATCTTCACTAGTATCCAAAGTTACAAAAGTACTATTAAAGGGCTCACAATTGAGTTCCTTCTTATGCACCCTCTATCCATCTTCTTCCTGGTCACTGTAAATATTCTGTGTCTTTACTTCATTTTCATTCATACAAGATATTTTCAGCTTGGGGCTGGAGCAATAGTACAATAGGTAGGGCACTTGCCTTGCACATAGCCAACCGGGGTTCGATCCCCTGCACTGGCATAGTCCCCTGAGCCCCTCTAGGAATAATTGCTGAGTAGAGTCAGTAAAAATTCCTGAATACCACCAGGGTGCCAACCCCCACAATAAAATATTGTTGCAACTCTAGCTTAGTAAATCAAGGCTAAAGTAGAAAAGGGAAATATTTGTCTAAGGTAAAACCTAAAGAAAAAGCACTTTATCTTCCATTTACTAACTAGAAGTTGGGTTCATAGACTAGGACCATTATTCTCCTCTCTTATAAGATCTTAAGAGATCCTAAGGGGTCCAATCTTGTTATGCATATGAGAATGCTGAGGCTGAAAAAAAAATAAAAGCTCATATTGTAAGTGAACTAGTTCATTCATTTAACAAAGGTATATAGGCCGTACTAGCTGTGTTATTGCTCCATCCCCTTAAATAATTTATTTTGGTCAATTGACCATTTCTTGTCAGCTTCTTAATTCTAGATATTTAATTTGTGATTGGGATCTCTGTGAGATAAATAGGAACTTTTTTTAACCATCAGTACTTAGCAAAGTACTTAGCAAATAGGTGGTGCAATGTTAGTAAATACTAAGTAATAATTAGTGCATGTGCCTCTGACACAACATAAGTCAAAATTAATTGAAATTATTACATTGAAATGCATACAATGAAGGACATGTTAATTCAACATGACAGTTCCAAAAGGAGCACAACTCAGTTCTGAGCATAAGGAAACACTAGATGAGGTTAAATAGTTGAATAGCCTCAAGTGTAAAACAATGGTTATAATCTATTTTCCGCTTAAATTATAGGTTTGTTGTCAAATATGTATTAAAAATATCCCTAGAGGGAGAAGGCAAGATGAAGAAAGAATTCATACGTAGGTCAGTTATCTACCACCACCCCTATCCCAGACTTGCCTTGAGGTGGCTTCTCTAACGGTCTTTCCAGCCTCTGGACTGCAAAGTCATTGTGAAAGGGAAGTCCTAGCAGCAATATTCTGAATTTCTAGATCATACCTTCTCAGTTGCTTAAGAAAAACGGTTGACTTTTGCATCAGTCCCTCTGCAGTATCTTGACCTCTAATACACCCCTACCGCACTGCACCCTCAAAGACATTTTGTGGAAAATTACAGGCATTTACCCACAAGAGTGATAATATTTCAATCTTCTAAAGTATTTTTGGCTCATACTGGGTGATTTTTTACATTGAAAGGAGCGGATTTTGTGTCAGGACATTGTTCTCCCTTCAGTTATCTTCCCTAAAATAACTTTAAAGGGTTTAGGTTAATTTTGATCACTTGGATTGGTAATTTTGTTAAGTCCCAGCATTAGAAATTCAACTAAAACTAGATCAGATACCATAACTGGTTAACAGTCTAGAAGCCTAAGCTGACTTATACTAAGTTCTACCTCATTTCTCTCTCATCATTTTCATCAAGTAATATTGGTTGACTGGTAAAATTAGAAGACAGAAATGGGAAAACAGCGAGGTATAGTGGATAAGACAGTTAAATAAAGGAATATAAATTTCCCAATTTTATTATCATTATGAAATGTTTAATATGTAAAATAGCATTTAAGCTACATTTTAGTGTAAATAATACTTAATATATACAGCATGATATTTAGTATCAAAATATAAATAATTACACTTCTTCGCAAGGCAGGAATAGTTTTACTGAGATTTGAATTCAGACTTGAATAACTAAGATAGAAGAACCATATAGGATGCTGGGAATCGAACCAGGGTTGACCACATGCAAGGCAAACACCCTACCTGCTGTGTTATCCCTCCAGCTCCAATTCTTTTAATTAATATATGGATTTTAACATTTTATTGTGTATTTTATTGACTTTTTGTGTTTTTTACCCCATCATTAGCAACCAAGTTGACTCTCCTGAATGGACTCACTCTAGGTTAAAGAACTTTGTTTCTAGATAATGGAAATTGCTCTCCTATTCCTGATCAATTTGAGATATTTGAGGTTTCTAAGATAAATTCATACTCTTAATCTGAAATATTTCCCTCTGAAGTCCCCCTCTGCCAGAAGTTATTCTCAGTCTTTACTAATATTTGAGACTACATAATGGTCAACATTTCTTACTCAGTTTTGGTTCTTTTCTGGACATCAAAGATATAACTGTCCTTTCTCTTTCTCTTTTTCTTTCCCTCTTTACTCCTCCTGCCCCTCACTTTCACATTTTTACAGAAAATGTGGTTTATAACAGCTTAGGGATTTTATAGACCAGGTATCCAAATATAAGTCAATTTCAATGTCTTGTGTCGAAAGTTAGTACTATCATTGATGACATTCACAAAAAAAATACAGTGTTCATGGTGCAAATGAGATGGGCACAAAGGGCTGGTTTGCATATAGGAACCCTCTATTTAGTTTCCATAAGCATATAGTTTTGAGTCTCATCATTACTGACCCCCCACAGCAACAACAACAAAACACATCGTGAGTAGCTCTTGA